ACTGGTCCAGGACTGGTCCAGGTGCACCTTCTTCTGGAAGAGACAAAAAAACATGATAATAATAATAATAATAAACATGTAGAGAAGAGAGTCTAAACTAAAGACAAAATGAAGAACAACTCTGGAAACCCAAGTCTAACTGTACGATTTATCAAAAAGTTGTAAGTGTTTAAACAAATCAGTCAAATAAAACTCTACACAAAACTTGTCATCTGCACCATTTACCCTTAAACTACTTAAAATATAAAACCTTTACATTTCTTCATCTAACCACATATTGTAGGGGATCCAGTGTAAAATGATTGCCAAATCTCTCTGTAAGTCACTTGCTGTGATGACCCTCTCAACGAGGTGCAGTCAAGAAAAAGAAAAAAAACCCACCAGATGTTTAAAGAACACTGTGCTCATCTACTTGTTTGCATTCAACAGAGCACACTGTTCTATTGAGGTCCCACGTTCTCCCACAGCAAACACAGGTTTGTTGTTAATATGTAATTACATCCATTGTACATGCAAAAAAGCTTCATTATTGTGGTTTTTTTAACTAGTTTTTCCAGTTGTTGGGACAAAAACATGCAACTTGATCTGGAAAATCATTACTCTGTAAAATGAATGGACCTGGCAGCCCTGGAGATAAGGAATGTATAGATATATGAGACAATCAGAAATGGTTACTGAGGGCACAAGGTTCAAGGTCTGAACAAGCTTAAAAATAAAAAGACAAATTAGTTTACTGCTCAAACTAAAGACTGAGCAGACAATAAAAGCTTCACTCTGTTCTTGTTTAACTCATACAGGTTTCATCTATTCTTTATCTTGTTTACACACAGGGTTTTAGTGATGCCTGAAACATGTTGTCTTGTATGTTTCAGTCACCTAAAGGAGAAAAAAATATAAATTCACACATTTTCCTGTTTTTTTTTTCTAGCTTTCATACTTCTAAATCGGAGATGTCCAATCCTAGTCCTCCAGGGCCACTACCCTGCATGTTTAAGAGGTTTATTTGCTCCAGTCTACTTGATTTGAACTAATGAACAGGTTTTTGCAGAACTTGAAGAGGTAGTTTAAACAATGAATAAGCTGCTGTAACTGGGAAACTGTTGCAAGTTATATAAAACCTTCAAAAAAAGGGGCATTTCTTCAGCTAAAACCAAACTGTATTTAACACAACAAAAGAAGCTGTGGAGGTTATTTGCTTCCATAGATAAACTCAGTTATTAAAGTCAATAAGTCGCTGATTTGTGTCGCCTTTACCTCACTCTCCACTACAAGGATGTCAAAGCCAGTGCGAAAGTAGATTTCACAATACTTGGCTACAGCTTGGGGACGAGATCCTAACCACGGCAGCATCAACAGGAGAGGTTTGGTTTCCTCGGAGGACTGACTTCCTGCGCCTGGAGACGTTAATTCATTCACGTAAAACGTGACGTTCTTACAAAGGCGATGTGCAGTGACTCCTCTAGTCACTGCGCTCAGAGCCATCCTGGCTAACATCACAGCTGCTGCTTGTCCATTTTTGTCTGAAGAAAGCAGGTGTGCCTGCAGGAAGTTGGAAGAAAAAGACGAGAACTTTAGTATTTAAGACGCACGTCGTGCTAGCAAAGCTAACATTCATTTAATTGTCTTTAGAGAATAATATTATTTACAACGAGATCGAATTATATTAAGTAATAGAACAAGTAATAAAAGGCTAAAAAAAATAGCTTTAAATTGTTGGCATTCTAGTCGTTAAAGTTAACACGCTTTATCCGGCTGAGTTACTAACCTGTTCACGGTTTGGTCTCAATATTTTGGAGAATTATTCTGAATCACATCGGTGCCTGTAACAAAGTTGAATTTAAAGTCTGTAAACTACTTCAGTGTAAACTACTTCATGGAGGCGAACAAGCGACAGACTGTTCTCCACTTCTGACCTCTACTTACTTATTTTCCCTTTTTCTTCTGGTATTCGTGGTAGAAACTTGTCTGTAGACGCATACAGCGCCACCTTCTGGGAAAATTGATGTACTACACCTTTTTTCCCTCGATTTCTGAA